TGCCGCTGCCGCCTCCCCCACCACCTGCCTCCCGCCTCGGCCCGCGGAGCTGCCGGAGTGCGCACGCAGCAGCTGTGCTCTGGGAGGATGGAGAGGGACCGGGGGAGCCATGCTCCTTCCCCTCCCCCCCAAAGCGGGGCGAGAAGCAGTGGTGCCCAGAGCCGGGGGAGCCCCCTCCCCTTCCTGCCCTAGGAGTGGCCACCACAGCTTGGTCACACGGGCAAGAGCACTGCGCCTCTGCAACGTGCCTGGGACAGCCACCCTGGGACCCAGCAAGCCTGCCTCTGGGAGATGTCTCCTCCCCGGGGGCTCTGCTCAGCCAGCTCTGGTGCGCCTGGGTGGGAGGGTAAAACGCAGACAGAAGGGGGAGGCCCTGGTCCCTCCTGGGACTGTCTCTAGGACCCTGGGCCCAGAGGACACTGCAGCCCTCTCCAGCCGCGCTTGCTCCCCGACTGCACACTGGATGTGCCGTGGGGCGCCGGGCCCTGGTGTGCAGAGATAGCAGCCAGGGGCTGGGCCGTGCCAGGTGGGGACAGTCTGCTTCCCCGGGAGCTCTGCCGCAGCCGGAAACCTCAGCCGGACGTAGGAGATGGGCAGGGTCCTTCCGGAGTTGAGCGGGGTCCAGGCAGGCTGCACCTCTGGGCCTGACCCTGTGTCATGGGGGCCCACTGGTGCGGCACCAGGTACGTGCCTGCCTGATCCTGCCAGGAGAGACCCCGAAACCTCCCTGCTGAGTCCAGCCTATCTCCCTCCCCCCATCCCCGTGTCTGTGCTAGAGGCCAGGCTATTAGTCTGCTGGGGAGACTTTCCAGCAACCTCCCCCATGTAGACAGGGCCCCGGCAGTGCTGTCAGCCGGCCCGTGTGGTTAAAACGGAGCAGGCCCTTCGGAGCCGCCCCCGGCACAGGAGAGGCGCTGGGAGCCGCAGCCTGACCACGGCTGTGCAGGGCTCTTCCTGTTTCCGGGGCTGCCGGGAAGAGCTCTCAGCTGAGCCTGCAGGCGCTGTAGAACCCAAGTCGGCGTCTGCATTCATCTCGCCACTCGCTTCGGTCCTGGCCTGCGCCGCCCTTCCCTGCCGCGGCGCTCAGACCTGGCCTGGCACCTTCTCTGGCTGCCTCTTCCCCAGGCTGCCTCCCTGCCCGCTGCTCTGGCTGCCTCCATGCTCCTGGGGCCGGCGGGGGACCTGAGCGCATCCCCAGCTGGTGCAAACTGCTGTCAGGGCTGACGTGGACCAGCCCGGCCCATCCCTGCCACGGGCAAAGCCCAGCGCTCTGCAGGGAAAGGCTGAGGCTGGCACGGGGGCGGGGCAGGCAGAAGGAAGGTGCTGAGAGCTGCCTGGCTTGAGCGGCTGGCATCTGGGCAGCTTTGCCATGGCTCCATCAGGGCTGGGCGTAGGGGCAGGGGGTGAATTTCTACCTCCTCTGCTGTGCCCCGTGCAGGGGTTCAGCCTGGGGTCTGATTGCCCAGCCGCCTGCCAGCCCGGTAGCTCCAACTGCATGGCTTAAAGGGCCCCCGTTCGGCCTGCCGCTGCCCAGCTCCCTGTGCCAACGGGCCCGACTCCTGTGCCCTGCTGAGCCCTCCCGAGCCCGTTGGCAGCTGGGCACGTCTCTGCTCCCTCCTGCCGTGTGACCCGCCGCCTCTATTGCAGGCAGCCGGCCCGGCAGATGGCACAGAAGGGAAGCGAAGCGTGACAGCTGGGGAGGAGGGCGAAGCCAGCGAGTGCCCCGTCTCCCCTCCCCTCCCCCCGTGTGACCGTGCATGTGCCGTCACACGCCGCCAGCCACGCGCGCTCCCAGGTGTGAGAGGCGCGACGCTGCCCGTGCAAGCAGCCATGTGCAAGGAAGAGGCGGGTGGTGCCTGGCTGCTGGTGATGCAGCACAGCAGTATGGGGAGCGCAGGGGCGGGGGCACTGGCTACTTGGGGGAGCAAAGATCCCGGGCTGGACGTGGAAGGATCCCTGCTCTGCTGCGGTGGGGGG